TGTTACTACTAGCGTGGCACCTGTTACTACTAGTAAGGCACCTGTTAAGTTTCCCGAAGTCTAAAGGTCTGGGAGCCAAATCAGTGCGAGCGCTTCTTCAAGGAAGCTCCCCCCACCCTCAGGTGAAGAAGCGTGAGCTATCCTGCATCCATGCTAGTGGCTCAAAAAGGGTAGTAGCCCTTAATTAAGTAGATGCCTACTTAATTAAGTAGGGAGGGGGGAGCGGGCTAAAAGAAGAAAAAAGAAACACATATGAGAAACTGCCAAAAAGAACATATATATCCCAACAAGGAACGTCTCAGCGCCAGGAGAGCTTGGCTCTTTCCGGATCATCATCAATGCCACTGAGGCGGTCGAGGTGGCGAGGAGCGCCAAAAATGGTGTTTCTGGTAGCGTCCTTGCTACTAGTAGTGATGCCCTTTGTTACTAGTAGCTTCTTGTTACTACTAGTAACGCACTTGTTACTAGAAGCGATGCACTTGTTACTAGTAGCGAACATTGCTACTAATGTGTTCCTAGGTAACTCGGTATCTCCGGTCAGATGCAACACGGGCCAGAAGGGCCGAAGGGACTGGAGAAGTCAAGTCAACCAGATCGGTGATGGAAGGACGCTGCTAGGTGGAGGCCATCGCTATTAGGTTGGAGGCCATTACTAGTAACAAGAAGCCACCAGGAACAAAGGACTAGGAGCAAGAACGCTACTAGTAGCTCCTGGCCTTACTACTAGTAACAAGAAGCTACAAGTAATTTCTTCCTTTACATATACACATGGAAGGCATTCCATTTCACAGCATATGTTGTTTCTCCACCCAGTTTCGCTCACAAGTCCTCCGACTTCAACCAGTGACTGGCCCCTAAACGTTTGTGATCACGAAAGATTCTGAGCGAAGACATCCGGGTTCCGCAAGGTTTGAGAATAAAACCTCAGGCTAGCGGCTATTCACCCTTTGTGTCCTTTATGCTTTCTATACCTTTTCCAGGTAACAAGAAGCTACTAGGGGCTCCTGGCATCGCTACTAGGAGCAAGGACGCTACTAGGGGCTCCTGGCCGTACTACTAGGAGCAAAGGACGCTACTAGTAAACAAAATCTCAAAGTTCCTCATGTTTGGGCCGCTGCGGCAATCTGTTGTCATCCGCCGGCAAGGATCCCGGCCAATTTCCGAGAGCCGCGGCAGTCGCACCAGAGCTTCAAGCTGAAATGGCTGCAGGAAGCTGCAGGGTTGAAATGAACCCCAACCTACTAGCGATGAACACAAAGCTGAGTTAACTCCTTAACAAGATACAACGATAGCTGAGAACATCTCCGTAGCTGAGCATGTTGCCTCAACCAAACAGAAATGTCCTTGGGCGAGATGACCCTGCACTGCACAAGTGCATTTGAGATTTTGTTACTAGTAGCGTCCTTTGCTCCTAGTAGCGATGCCAGGAGCCCCTAGTAGCGTCCTTGTTCCTAGTAGCGATGCCAGGAGCCAGTAGCATTTGACTGAATGTATCCATATCCTCACTAAGCTCTCCTGCACCGTATGCCACACATTGCACCTCCGAAGAAAAATACTTGCTATCGGCAACAATGTTGGCTAGCAAGAGCTCCACTGTTCGATTTGCGTTCTGGTTCTCCCACATCTACATTCGTGTCGAAAGAGGCTTTACATATTCATCCAAAGCTTCAAGTCGAACCTTTATCAAACCCACGAGCTTCGTTTCACGCCAGGAGAGGCCTTACAATATCTTCATGGGGGGTGGTCGCTCGAAACAAAAAGCACCGATGCTCTCGTGGTATCGGAACCCGCAGTTCCGGGTCTCGATGAAGCCGCAGGCGCGATGAAACGCGTCATCCGCGGCTTCGACAAAAAGGGAAGAAAACAACTAAGTTTCAGCGATGCCCTTTGTTACTAGTAGCTTCTTGTTCCTAGTACTAAGGCCAGGAGCCCCTAGTAGCTTCTCGTTTGTTACTAGTAGCTTCTTGTTCCTAGTAGTAAGGCCAGGAGCCCCTAGTAGCTTCTCGTCTGTTATTAGTAGCTTCTTGTTCCTAGTACTAAGGCACACAGCCCCTAGTAGCTTCTCGTTTGTTACTAGTAGCTTCTTGTTCCTAGTACTAAGGCCAGGAGCCCCTAGTAGCTTCTCGTTTGTTACTAGTAGCTTCTTGTTCCTAGTAGTAAGGCCAGGAGCCCCTAGTAGCTTCTCGTTTGTTATTAGTAGCTTCTTGTTCCTAGTACTAAGGCACACAGCCCCCAGTAGCTTCTCGTTTGTTACTAGTAGCTTCTTGTTCCTAGTACTAAGGCACACAGCCCCTAGTAGCTTCTCGTTTGTTACTAGTAGCTTCTTGTTCCTAGTACTAAGGCACACAGCCCCTAGTAGCTTCTCGTTTGTTACTAGTAGCTTTTTGTTCCTGGTACTAAGGCCTGGAGCCCCTGATAGCTTCTCGTTTGTTACTAGTAGCTTCTTGTTCCTAGTAGTAAGGCCAGGAGCCCCTAGTAGCTTCTTGTTTGTTACTAGTAGCTTCTTGTCCCTAGTAGTATGGCCAGGAGCCCCGAATAGCATCCTTGCTCCTAGTAGCGATGCCAGGAGCCCCTAGTAGCTTCTTGTTTGTTACTTGTAGCTTCTTGTTCCTAGAGTAAGGCCAGGAGCCCCTAGTAGCTTCTTGTTTGTTACCAGTAGCTTCTTGTTCCCAGTAGTAAGGCCAGGAGCCCCTAGTAGCGTCCTTGCTCCTAGTAGCGATGCCAGGAGCCCCTAGTAGCTTCTTGTTTGTTACTAGTAGCTTCTTGTTCCTAGTAGTAAGGCCAGGAGCCCTTAGTAGCGTCCTTGCTCCTAGTAGCTTCTTGTGTCGCCAGACATGTCTATTCTTTCTAGACATTTCTATATGTCCTTTGTGGCCAGCTTTTGGTGAAGACAGCCATATTAGCAAAAAACTTTTGCCAGACATATTGTTCTTGGACGACTTAATTCGTCACGCTTGCCCTTCAGGAGGCTCCACTTGAGCAGATCCCCCCGTCGTTGCGGGGGCGGACGCCCCCACCGAGGCTGTGGCTCGGCGGCGAGCGAAAGACGAACGCCGAAAACGGAACAAGATTGGAGAGTCTTCACGAATCATGAAGTGATGGCCTCCAACTCTTAACATCTTAACTATACTAGCGTCCTTGTTCCTAGTAGCGATGCCTTTGTTACTAGTCGCGATTCTAGCTCCTATAGTCGTAAGGCCAGGAGCGCCCCTAATAGCGTCCTTGCTCCTTCAGGTCGCGGCCCGAGACCCAAGAGCTCACCCTGCGGCCGAACACGGCGCCGGTGACGCCCACGTCGCTGGACCGGTTCCAGAAGGTCGACAAGGCACGGCTGAGTGCCTCGGCGGGAGAAGCCACCGGGGTGGAGATCGTTGACCTTTCTCCCTTTCTTGTAAACATTGTTACTACTAGTAAGGCACTTGTTACTAGAAGCGATGCACTTGTTCCTAATAGCTTCTTGTTCTCTTGTCATCTCTCTATCCTTTTTCTTGTAAACATCTCTGGTCTCTCTGGTCTCATTCGATGGTGCAGAACAGCAGAGTAGAGACTGTAGGTGGCTGCGGTCGGGGAAAGCTCTTTCAGGTTGGAATCGAACAACTACTAGCGTTGGCCTCCAACCTACTAGCGATTCCCTATCCAACGAACAAGCCAGATGGCTGCTGACATAGGCTTGGCAGACAAGCAGCTTTCTCCTGAAAAAGTTCACACTCAGGATCTGTCTTCGACAGCTGCGACACCCAGAGCAATGGCTTGGCAGCTTGGCTGGTTAAGAAAAGCAGTTGGATCGGTTGGAGATGGTTGGAGTATGTTTGGGCCTGATCAAAGTCTTCTGTGGGCAACCGAGCGAGCGTCAGAACAAATTAGGTGTGCAAAACTCCTCAGCTCAAAGTGTTCGATGATTAAGTCAATGGATGCTTTTCGCACTTCTATCCTGCCTGCTTCGCCCACCAAGCTTGCCAACATGCCCTCTACACACTTGTCCTTGGGATCACTGTTTATATATGTGCAACGGCCAACAAGCGGCATCATGTGTCAATCAATGCCAGATGGACGCAAAACTGTGTTCATCATTGTTCATCTATATAACTCTCCACAATGCACTGCAAGATGCACACCTTCAGTCTGCACTAGGTGACCAAGTGGGGAGGAGCCCCTAATAGCGTCTTTGCTCCTAGTAGCGACGTTCTGTTTCCGAGGTGAACAAGCGGGAGCTCATTAAGGCCATCCGCCGGGACGCGAAGCTCGCAGAGTTCTTCGGGCTGCCTATGGAGATCCGACAGGAGTGGATTCACACCGAGTGACTCACTCCGTCGGTGGTCGTGGTTTACTTGCATGCACCCTCACTGTAATTCAATGAATCCGTTGATGGCTACTGTGTGTTTTCGGATAGACGTAGTACACCATGAGTTGCAAGATCGCTCCAGAATCTCGGTGAAACAGAGCGACAGCAAAGCTCACGAAAAACACAGATGCACTTAGAACCTTGCTCCTAGTAGCGATGCCAGGAGCCCCTAGTAGCGTGCTTGCTCCTAGTAGCGATGCCCTTTGTTCCTAGTAGCGTTCTTGTTCATGATACATTTCCTCATTTTCATTTTGGCTCGGTTTGTTGGATGTCCTCTCCCCTCCCCCGAGATGGAACACCGGAGAACGCCTTGTGACATGTCAGGAGGACGGCTCGCGGGACGAAATGGAGAAGCTCTTCCAGGCCACACCTGCTGCACGACGGCCGAAAAGGGGCACGGACGGTTCTTCCCGTTTGATGACTTGTTTAAAAACAAAAAGAACACTCAAATGTTGTCAATCATTTTGTATTTCAAAAGCTAAAAGATGTCACCCCGTCACCCCTGCCCACCAGTGCCTGCGCAGGCCATGGACAGCGACTCCGATCGCGAGATCAGCTGGGAGGAGTTCGTGCAGTTCCACACCAGCGTCCAGAAGTCCAAGGAGGACAGTGGAAAGCAACAGATTTTACTCCAACCTAATAGCGATGGACTAAAACCTACTAGCGATGGACTCC